GTGTACTTTGCCCTCTGCTGTGTCAGTTTCTCCTCTTCCTGTGACAGAATGTTTCTGCGCTGTTCTTCTGCTTTCTGCAGCAGCTCCTAAAACCGATTCAATTAAAACAGTAAAAACTGGTTCCCTTTATTTCCACTTTATTTTAAGTGTTTGTTTGTGTTGAACACCGCACAGTCTGAGTATTACAGTAATATACTCCTTTTAGAATTCGGAAAATGAATCTACCTGTTGTGCATAAAAGGCCTCCTCTTCAGCCTGGCGACGTAAAAAATCTGCACGCATTGCTGACACCTCCTGCCTGAACACACACTTACATGTTATGCCTTCTTCCTCCCTCCTTATATTAAGTTTGAATATTTACTATTACCAAAATTAACATGACTTTTTTTTCTCTTTTCTTTATTATTGTTTTGTTTTAATCTCACCTCTCTCTGAGATACTCCATCTCCTGCAGTCGTATCTTCTCCTTCTCCCTGCTTTGGTATTCCACTATGAAATCTGGGTAATGATTGAACACAGGGTACTGGCCTTTGGTTAGTGGTGTAAAGTCAGAGAGCATGGCCCTGGGATGGATGTCAGCTGGTGTGCTGCTCATGAGTCGGTAGGCCTCCTTTACCATTGCTCCAACATCCAGGTTGTTACGATGGTGGAAGAAATACTACAAAAGAGGAGAGACAGAAAAGTTCATTATGTGTCAAAATTTATGTTTTCCTGGATTCGATTAGATGAGACAAAATGATGGGAAAAGTACCTCAAAGTCTTGCTTCTGTGAGCAGAGGAGGAGAGGCTCACGGCAACAGATGATGTAAGCCACACAGGCCATCAGCAGAAATGATGGATGGTTGGAGAAAATATTGTCAAACAGTTTCAGCCACTCATCCCGAGTCAGAACTTCTGAGAAGAAGGTCTCCAGCAGGGGCCACACGAAGAGCTAGAGCAAGCAGGGAGAAGTGTCATAAAAGTGCAGAGAACGTGTGATCCCACTGAGCGCGTGCAATTGTATGGCACAATATCTGACAGCCTCTCTGTGGTTCTGCCGCTTCTGTTACCTGCGAAGTAACGCCACAGTCCACCAGGTGCTGCAGCAGCTCCTTGTCATGATGAGCCAGGACATTCTCTGCCATGTTCAGGATATTCAGTGGAGGGTTGGGGAAATACTCAAACCAGTGTTGGCACCAGTTCACTGCACAACCAAAGAACTGAATCAGTAGAGATTCCTGTGAAAGGTTCAGGTTGACTAAAAGAAAAAAGGACTTTTGCATTTGGATCAAATGTATATAGCAATCAGAAGTGTCTGTACACTCTGAGCAGCAGTGTATTTTGACCTCATGATCTTATGCTTGTAGCAGTGCCATTCTCAGACTGATCAAGTTTTCAAATGTTTGCCGATGTAATATTACAAAAACACACAGCGATGATGGAGCTCTGTAAGAAAATACCTATGACAGTGGCCACCACTTCGAAGCAGAGCATCGGATTGTTCTGGAAGAGCTTGACAAAAGGAAAAGCTACTAGAGGAAGGTATTCCACCTCTCCAAAGATGGCTGCCCAGTGAGCTAAAGCAGACAACACCCTGTGAAGAAGACAAAACAAGCGGTCACAATGTTTTTGGGTCCAACTATGCTGTATGCTCATTAAACATACAAATCTGGTGGTGGTGGTTCTTGGGTTAACCCATTAGTGCCCTTTTACACACGGAGGAAAAGTTCCTGTTAAGGTTTCAACATCCAACATCGAGTCTTCCATAGTTTTCTTGACAGTAAAACTGGGTCAAGATGGACTGAGAGACACCAACACTTGTGTATATTTTTGATTTGCCTTTTTGTCCTGTCTCGCACTCTCTTTTCTTTCCCCTCACCCCCAACAGGTTGCGGAGGATGGGAGTTTTTCCTTCCCATTGTCGCCAAGTGTTTGCGTGATTGTTAAGGTTTCTTTCAAACAGGTACTCCATCTTTACAAGATAAAGAAGATCTTTACAACAAATTTCCCACGTGTGGGACTAATAAAGGTTAAAGGTTATCTTTACCCTCCAAAATAAAGCACCTCAAGGTGACTGTTGTTGTGACCTGGTTCTAAAATAATTAACACTGCATTGGATTGGATTATATGCGTGAGTGTGAGCACCTCTGCAGTCCTCTCAGCAGTTTGTGACTTTTGATGGGGTATTTCTCGTGCAGAGTGAGGAAGGCTGAGTGTAGGCCTTTGTCCGTCAGACTGCTGTATGCTGCATGATTCTCTGGCAGGCACAGCAAGGACCGCCACACAAACATTCTGCAATGCAAATATAGAAAATTACTTATTATTTTCCTACATGCATGCCTAAATCTTCCTGGTGAAAGTCGTGTTTACCTGTATTTAGCTGGGTATTCTCCAAATGCCTTTAGCAGAGCCACCAGTCTCTTCTTATTTAGACCAGCTGGAAGTTCATTCTGTTCACAGAAAGAAACTAAATTCAAAACAACCCTTTAGCTTACACAGTCATTACATCCACAAAATGATGTGTGTTCTAGCAGTTTACTTCTTTATCCTCAGCTGTAGTCCCAGCAGGAGGTCTAAGGGTCTTCACTTGTGTGCGTCTGCCTGAACTCTTGGTTGGTCTTTGAACAGCCTCTGACCTTACCTTGACCTTTAGGTTTGAAAAGTCCTGATCAGCTTCACCACCAGAGACTACTGCCACCTGAGAGGGAGGAGGCTGTGGAGAGTGCCAGGGTAAAACAAACAATCAAACACACACACACACAAAATTTCAAATCAAGACATGTGGTAACTTTGGTATGAACCCTATTCATCACATTCTTGCTTGTCACCTTGTTTAATTCCTGCGTGAGACTCTGGACGCTGTAGATATTGACGCTTCCATTATCCATGATAGCCACAATGTGTCGGCCGTTAGGGCTTACTGCCACTGTAGTGATGGATTCATCATGGGAACCCACGTGAAAGAGAAGCTTGCATGTGTGAATGTTGATGAACCGCATCACACCATCCTGGCTCAACACACCCAGTGTCTATAAGACATCAAAGTTATAATCAAAAAGGAAAGTGACAAACTCAGAGGAAATGTACAAATTAACAGCATATAGCCATATTACATTACGTTACGTTACATGCCAGTTAATTTTCTCTTCAATGTACAAGATATGAGATTATCTTTAAAAAAAATCTACTTAAGAAATAATTTTTGAGAACGTTATTTTTAACATGAAAACAAGCAAACTGGAAAAAACCTAAACCCTTCTGGTAGCACTGTTTGTACCTGGCTGGCTCCTCCGTCGAAGCTGTCGGGCAGGAATTCCAGCTGTCTGACCGTTCGAACTTGCGTGGGCATCTGAATCACCCTGAGCAGCTGTTTGGTGTCCAGACACCAGAGGTGCAGCAGGTTGGAGCGCCCACCTGCTGCAAGGCTCTTACCGTCACTGCCAACACAGCACAAGTATGCATTAGAGACTTTTGTAAGGGGCTGTTAATGAGTGGCTGTGAGATGAGAGACCCACCGTGTGACAGCAAAGGCCTTGTAGAAGATTCTGGGTCCACAATCGGGAACAGGAAGCTGGTATTTGCAGAAAAGTGTGTCACTCTCCCACGCAAAGATGGAATCATCACTGAAACAGCTGAGGATGGTGTTGCTGAGAGGCAAGAAAAACACCTGCAATGCAAACAACACCTGACGTGGTCAGTCTACAGTGTGGATGTCCATTCATTTATATCAAATTAGTGCGTCTCGACCTATAGCACCTAGAACAAGCTCCAGCTCACCTGCAACCATTAATTGCCTAAGCAGAAGAAAATGGATGGATAGTTTGCAGAGCATGTCTGCATGCTCACCCTCTGTATGCCTACAGACTGCCTGATGTTGAGCTTTCTCTTCCTTTGGAACGTGTCCAGGTCCCAGAGCTGCGCTGTGTCTGAGGATGTGGTGATTGCATAGCGGCCTGAGCTGTGAACGGAGATGGATGAGACTGCTCCCTCGTGACCTCGCATCCAACTCACCAGCTGCTTAGTGTCTATGTAATTAACCAGAACAAGTTAATTTGTAGTTCAAAAGAAGAAGCAAATTACACATTTTGGATTAAAATGACCAGCTGCTACTGGGAGAAATGAAAAAACCCGCAGAGTGCTGGCTGGCTGTGCTTACAATAAAGAAAATCATTAAAAAAAATGTTGTTAAGAATAAAATTACAATTCAATTCAATTTTATTTATATAGTGCCAAATCACAACAACAGTTGCCTCGAGGCGCTTTATAATGTACGGTAGACCCTACAATAATTCCGTACAATGAACTACAAATGAAAAAGTAAGCAGCACTTTATGTGTGAGGACGTACCTTTGTCAAAGCATTTAATAGTGTAGTCAGCCAAAGCCACAAGGAACTCTGTAGTCCTGCGGAGGCTAAATGCCAAAGAAGTGCAGGCCTGTCCTGTTTTCTGCACCAGCCGAAATCTATCCCAAGAAGAAGGAGAAGAAAAAAAGAAAGAAAATCAAATAAATTTCAAAAGCATCAAAGGTTTTAAGACTCCATTCTGAATATATTTAATATTCTAATTCAAAGGCAGAACATTTATGAATCAAACAATCCTGGTTGATAGAAGTAAATCCTAAACAATACAGAATTCTGTACATTTATATACTAAATAACCAAGTGTCCCTCATAGCCACACACCTGTTTCTACTGATGTCAAAAACATAAATGTTGCCATGGTGATCCCCAGCCAGGAAGGAATCACCAGTGGTGTCGAAGGCCACTTGGAGGAAACGCACCGTCTTGGCCTGCTGAGCAGTGCGGACCACAGTCACTAACACACTGAAAAAGGCAAACAAGGCACCTCATCAGAGACAAAATAGTGTCTGAGTGAATCATCACTGCTCCCTAGTGGTCACCTAGGAAAAGATCTACTACGATCTCTCTGCACCTGTGTGCATTAACCACCTGAGGTCTTATTTACACAGGTGTGGGATATGAGCTATGTTAACATTACCTTAGGAATAGCACAATTTCTCACTGTCACAGATTCTTTATAAAAGAACTGAAATCAAAATCAAATTTCATCTCTGGGCTCCTTGATGGTGGTGTGAGAGAATGCTTGAAAACAAATGAGTGAATAGATCATTCTCGCATTATTTAATATTTTCTAAAAACAATAACCTAACAATGAATGATTAGCAACAAGGATTTGACCTAAATGAAAAGAACAACATTTGCTTGTTACTAAGTACTATACAAATTTTGCATAAATTTCGTTCACAGCAAAATATAATCAACTAGCACGAGACATTCAAAGCATGTTTTCTGTAAGAGAAAGAATTTAACTACATCATTTAACAACCCCAAGATGACATCTGACGACCTCCCATGAACCCTTAGTGACGAGTTATGACACGTTAGTATACATCAAAGATGTGGTGTGACAACCATGTGATGTTTCCAGTTTTTTTCAAGGGCAGTTGCAGAGGCAGAGACCACCCTCTTTAACTTCTGATGCACACTCACTCGTTCTGTTCTACAACCAAATATGACAGAAAGCAACAAAAGACCTCCAAGGTTTTACTCCTAGTAGGGTTTCAAGGACTAAAGAGTTAAGGGTTTTTGCAAATTGAAAACAGTCACTGTGCGTACTACAAGAAAATATTTTTGTGTTTCTGTGTGTGGAGTGAAACTATAGAACTGAAGCAATGTGCAAAGATAAAGCAGTTCAGAAACAGGTATAAAGATATGGTTTTCGTTAGGTATAAGAAAGAGAGAGATGTTTGAATGTCAATGAATGTCTCTGGTTATTCCAGGTTTATTCAGATTTTGCAATCAACACACAAAATTGGAGGTATTTGTCTTTCCCTGGCTTCCTCTCACATCCCAAAGACCTGCAGTTATTGGATTAGGTTAACTGGTGAATCTAAATTTGCATTGGTGTGAGGATGATTAACTCTCTGTGTTAGCCTGCAAGATGCTGTCCAGGGTGTACCTGGACACTCTATGGCAACTGGGATAGGCTCCAGCCCCCACCCCAACAACCCAGAATCAGATAAGCTGAAAAGGAATGGGTGGTTGAATGTATTTCACACAGTGTATGTAAATGCAAGTAAAAGTGAAATTATAAATATGTATATTGTTGTTATTGAGGTTAATATCAATAAAGAGGCAGGATAAACAATAATGGATTTACCGGCAAAGAGTGGGGTTAAATAAGTGTGCACTTCTTCCCACTCTTTTGGATATGTAAACTAAGTCAGCCAAAGTGAAGCAGTGTATTTTGCATGACTTTCTGTGTACTGCTTCCATGTTCAAAAGAAACTGAACTAAACAAGCAAACAAATTGCCAGGTCTCTCTTGGAAATGAGATTTTTAATCTCAATGAGATTTTTTTTTACCTGGATAAATAAAAGGACTAATAACAAATAATTGCCGTAGACAATTTCATCCATTTCTCATCCATGAATGTTTGATTGGGGTGAAATTTTTAAGAGGTCACAGTGCACTAGTCGCAACATTTTTATATTCATGAAGTCAGTCAGAGACCTGTAGAGAAGATTTTCATTTATTTATTAAAAAAATTTCGTTTAATTTGATTCACATTCAAACATAAATCATTTGTAAATCTGCAATTTGCTAGAACTACAGTTAAAGTTTCATAGTTTTCTAGGATTACTGCGGCCTTAATGAACTAGTAAAACATAACTAATTCTTTGATTGCAATTAGCAAATAAAATAACTCATCACAACAGTAGTAACGAATCAGTATTCGTTAAGTAAATACCAACAGACACAGTAAAAATACTTAAAGTAATAGTGCCAAAATACAGCAATCACGGCAATACAAACTGACAGCTTAGAGCGCTTTGTGTAATAAAGATGCCCCGCATGTAAATGAGTCCGTGCAGCATCAGCTGACAGTCTGAGAAACTAAATAAGACTTTTGGGAAAATTAAACCTACCTTTTCCCCGGTGTTGGTTTTCGATGCCAGATTTTACCCTCCTCTTTGTTCCCAATGTCCGTCACCTCCATTTTCAAAAAAGTCCACACAGTTCAGGAGGTAAATTTACAAAACACCGCTTGAGTTAACTTAATGTCACTATGATATCGCATGGCTTCCCCGCTAGCAGGTTAGCCGGCTAATCTTTTTACAGGCGGGGTAAACAGCGGCAAATTTAAAAGAGTAACATTGACTAAGTGCGGTAATGAGAGAAACCGTTAATGCCCTCGATAAAGGCTTAGCAATATAATTCAGATTTAAGTAGTGCCCTAAAGGTTTAGCTGACCCCCTACGAACAGGTTTTATTCACTTGTTATTGTTTTGTTTATTTTATTGGTTGGGTTTAAGAACAGTTATTTTGTCGCCCAAAATTGACGAAATACGGCAGAAGGCGTGGCCAAGGAGCGTGAACGCGAGGTATTTTTCACCCCTGTAAAATATTTTTTCCACAAGACCCAGAAAAAAAGTGAATATTGAGTAAGTTTTTATTTAAAAATAAAATTAAAAAAATAAATACGTGACGTTTATTTATGTATTAGTGTATATTTGTTTATTTTATTTATTTATTCATACATTCATCTACATCCACACAATAAAGCTCCGAGTTTGTCAGGTATTCTTTTTATTATCATACGTTTTCTTATCTCATATGTCAGACCTCCAAAAGCCATTCTAATACTTAAGTATTTAAGTAAAAAATCCTAATCCTTCACCCACCTCTTTAAAGGCAGAGTGAAAGATAAAAGGTAAACTCCAGCAACTGAACCCTGAACTGAACTGATAATTAATTACGATTAACTGATCGCCACCACTTTTTAAAAAAGCATTATTTCGTGCCCAGTCCCCTTCTTGTGGTCTGTTTTTAGATCTCCACAGGGGCCGCGAGAACGGCGTCGTTCGGCACGCCTCTTTGTGTTGCTGGCTGCCTCTGGATGGTCAAGTGAGCGTGTTTGCAAATTTCACAGGAAGTGCAATAAAATGCAAGGCAAACAAGATATTGTTAGATACTGAAAACACATCCGGTTTAAATTGTTAAATTAAGAGCTTTTTATAAACGAATTAGGTCAATATATGTGCAAGCACACACGGGTTGGCATGTATTTACACTTTATCGTCAACTGTGCACATCCTTAATATTATAAATGGCCGCACGAACTGATCATACTGCCTAAGGACCTTTGTAACGCTTTTACACAGAGCGAGCAGGAATGGTTCCTCTAAAATTCTTCATTTTATGTGTGTATCCAATCATAAGTGCTGTTTTCTGCAACAAGCGTTTAACTTTAAAATGAAAGCATTCCAGTAGGCTCAAAAATGCGTAATTTGCCATTATTTGCCTCGGATAAACGTAGTTTGTTAATTGGTAATAATAATTTAAATATATTTTTGATTTTATTTGTCTCTAGTTCAGTAATAGTCATATAGTAAGTAAAACAGATTTTTGTTTTATCCAGTCTGTGGTAACAGTTGTCGAATTGGGTTTTACTTTGAAAAGCTACACCGGATGTTTCCTCTCTGATGTCAGTGGCTTCATCGTATTTTGAAGCTAGCTCACCGTGATTAGCCACGTCATGTAAACTTAACAGTGGAGCAGTTGTGATATAAAGACAGGAAGCAGTCGCTGATTTGGAAAGGACTTTAGGGAATTGTTAAAGAGGAAATTTTATTTCAGGTCTCAAAGTTGGCAGTAATCCTATGGAAAGATGTCAGATATCGGGGACTGGTTCAGAAGCATCCCTTTCATCACCCGGTACTGGTTCGCTGCCTCCATTGCTGTTCCCCTTATAGGCAAACTGGGATTGGTTGATTTCAGGAATCTCTTGCTATTTCCGGAGATGGTCTTCAGCAGATTTCATGTGAGTGTTTCTTGGTTTTTGGTAACTTGTCTGTCTGTTGGATTAGATAGCGGACAAATGCTGAGTTACTGTCTTTTGGAAACTAGGAGTTAGTTAGCAGGTGGCTAGCACTGCTAACTCAGGAGGCCTGAGTGTGGGGCAACCAATGAGAGGGCGAGACGCAGGAGGGTGGGACTTCCGGATGTTGTCAAAATGCTTGGATATGTGGTGACGCTGAAATGTAAACCAAATATGAAAACAAATACATATTTTTTATAATTTAATTACCAGAGAAGTAGAGACATGTTTTATTTTAAGGTATTTGTTGCGGATATATAAGTTACTTTTAGTGCGCTCTCGTCCACAAGGTGGAGACAAGTATTGCAGGGGATGTTATAAAATTAGGCCCTTGGGCACTGTGAAGGCCTCTAAATCAGGTTAACAGTGGTTTCGTGCAAGGTTAGGGCATGGGTGTAAATCAGTAATCAAACACAGCTCAGGGCAAAGGGAATCGGTCAGTGTGATCACTTTAAGTGCTGAAAAGTAGCTCCAAGTAGTTCACTTCATATCAGTTCTAGTACTTAACTTAGAAGGAAATGTCATGATTTCCACCTTCAGTAATTCGAAATGTATCTCACAGCTATAGTTAAAGGATAATCTGAAGAATATTAAATATAAATAATTACAGCATTAACACAGTACTTTGCTATGTACTTTGTTTGCTGTGGTATTACTGTGTTTTCTTAAGTGAATGAATAAGCTTCTTTTCACTGAACAATCCATGCACCTTCTGGAATTATTGGACTTTCTTGCTGTTGATTATTAATCTTAGGACATGTTGATTAAAACCACAGTTAATTTCATTATGTAGGCAGCCTATTGTATGGCTAATAAAAGAAAGCAAAATAAACTGAAATAAATGCAGTAGGGCAGAGTCAGTATACTATATATAACCCCCTGATCTTTATGAGCCTATAAAATGTCAAGTTATAGTTAAGATGGTCACGCAAGCTGTGTGAAAGCATTGAATATGAGACTCTGTTGTTTGAAAAGTTATTAACCTTTTGTCAAGTCCCAAACAACAAAATAAGATTTTTTTTTAGTTTGACAGCACAAAAAATGGATAATGGTATGATCAGACACTCCTTTAAATTGTGACTGCATCTTGTCTTTTGCCTCCGGATTAATGGGAATTTAACCATTAATTCCCATTAATTTTTTAAATGTGGTATTGATTCAACTTCTTTTACCAATTTTCAAATATTACTGTGAGGAAACACACACTCTGCAGCGGAATACCACACAGGAAGTAATAATTTGCAACCCACATGAGACTTAATGTGTTACAGACTTGGTGGTGAACATCTGGATGTGCAAACAGGCACAGCGACGTTGATGTCTTACTGATTTTTCTGTTGGGTTAATAACTCTTCTGCTTATTTCAGATCTGGAGACCAGTGACAGCCACTCTTTATTTCCCAATAACCCCTAATACCGGCTTCCTGTACCTGGTCAACCTTTATTTCCTCTACCATTACTCCACTCGGCTAGAGACAGGTAAGCTCACCGGCCTACGCGGTTTATAAATATACAGTGCTCCTTCTAGCATCTTGTTTTCATTTGTGTCATCATCATCATCTTCGTCCTGATTTTCTTTTTCTTATACCAGGGTCATTTGATGGCAGGCCGGCAGACTATATCTTCATGCTTCTCTTCAACTGGATCTGCATAGTTGTATCCTTTCAGACTGGCAATTCCTGTTTTAAAATCTCACATTTTAATCTACCTAACAGGAAATCATTCTTCCATCATCCAGCTACCTCCCTGTTAGCTTGTTTCCCACTCTACCATTCATTCTGACCCCTCCTGCATTTCTCTTTCATCTTCTCTCTGCCTCTCTCTCGTTCGCTGCAGCAGTGTGCCATGTCAGGGTGGCTCTGTGCCAGCGGCCCAGTGTCAGTCTGCCCCTGCAGAGCAGAGAAACCTAATCTAGGTCACATGCAGCACCAGCAGTACACTCAGGCCCACATCTCAGCTCTCTGTCTTCTTGTGAGAGTTCAGCTCAGATTGGGTGCTTGCTGCTCAGACATTTCTCTTTTATGTGGGAAAAGCAGCAAAACTCTACCTCATCCAAACAACATGTTCAGTCTTTGTCAGTTCAGCTAAATGGTGAGAACAGCTTAAAAAAAAAAGTGTGGGAGGCGTAACCTGCCAAGGTCAGATGCCTTGCTCAAGTGGAAACGGCAGAGGTGACTGCCAGCTTCCAAAAACTGGTGTAGGGGATTTGAACTGGCAACCTCCCGGTCCCAAGCCGTTCTAATTGTACAGCTCCAGCTGTGATTCTATTGTTGTCGTCCTTGACTCAACCTGCAGATAACCGGGCTGCTGATAAACATGCAGGTGAGAATCTTCCTCGTCTGTCTCGCTCTCTCTGCATGTAGACTGCTGTAGCGTCTATATAAAGCATTTGTTTACAACCGTCCTTTGAAATCTTAGGAGTGTTTCATAACACAAGACACCCACTTTAAAAAGGAAAGGTTTACATTTTGGAGAAAAAAAAATAAACACTGCAGAGACGCTGCCACCTGCTCCTCTAAAGCTTACTAATTTATGCGGCATTTCACAAAGCATATCCAGACCATTTCTTTCTGCTCCTGGCCAAGAAGTTGCATTAGGAAAAAAATAAAATTGCACAGATTAAAGAGCAGCGCATTAACTATTAGGTGTGCTAGTAAGTGGATTTGACTGTCTTTGGACAGAGCCAGGCTGTTGTGTTGTTTGATGGTATGTGACA